CACACACACACACACCCACACACACACACACACACACACACGCAGATATACACACAATAACAACAACAACAAAACTAACAACTTTTGACACTATATATAGCATATAACTTTCTACATGTGTTACAGAAAAAACAGTTCACAAAAAGTGGGAGTCTCTCTGGGTGAGGTGGTGCATGTGTATAATCCCAGCACTTGGGAGGCTGAGGCTAGAGGATCGCCGAAAGTCCAATCAAGGTCAGCCTGGGCTACATAGTGAGTTCAGGGCCGGTCTGAACTACACAGTGAGACCCTCTCTCAAAAAACAAAAACAAAAACAAAAACAAAAAAACAAAAAAACAAAAACAAAAACAAACCCCCCAAAATGCTGAGTCTCAAAAAGTACAAATAGATACAGCCTGGCATTTTGTTCTTACAATTGTCCAGTAACTTCTCATCCCACTTCTACCTCCAACTGTCCTAATCTCACAACTCCAGATGATTATGATAGGCTTGTTTTCTGATCATCACATATGTCAGAAATTCTTAAGTTACATTTTAAGTTGTAGACCACACCGTTACATGACTTGTCTATAAAGTAATCTGATTTCAAAGGCAATTTAATGTTAAAACTACTTCCACACCAATGTTCAGTTGATGACGTTTAAGCCACTTCTCTTCTGGTGAATCAGCATGATTGCTTCATTGCGTTAGGTACTTTGCTTTGTGTAACCCTGGCAGTTTCATTTCCTGTTAAAATAGTATCATCTAGAACCCGGATAAGCCCTTTACCTTTACTCTTTCAGCACTGAATATAAGCAGAATATAAAACATACATCTATGTTTGGGTGATAGTATATTACATATTGTTTTAGTATTCTTTAAAGGTTGGGAAGGGAATTATTTGTTCTGATTGAAAAAACAATTCTTTTTTGAGACAGGTAGTTCAGGGGAACCTTGAACTTACTATGTAGCCCAGCCTGGCCTCAAATTTGTGGCAATCCTCCTGCCTCAGCCTCCCAAGTGCTGGAATTATAGGTGTGCACCTCCATGTCCAGCAAAAAAAAAAAATCTCTGAATAAAAATATTTGTCTGGAAGACTTCTCTTATTGAAGCTGTCCTGGCTGATGAGATTGGATTTATGCCTAACTTCTTTCTTTTTAGATAAGAAACATCACAGTCTCCACTGTCCTCTCCCAGGAAGTCTGGGGTGGCCTCAACTTCCTCAGAATATGTTCATGACATATTCTAACAACCTGTAGGAGAGGTTTTCATTACCCACATTTGAATTTAGAAAAGTCCAAAGCAAGACATAGTGAGAATGCACCACAACACGGAAGATGAGCAAGAGAAAGCATTTAAAAATAGAATCACATGACCTGCAAGCAGAGTAGGGGAAGAGAGCAAGAAAAACAAAGGCGTTGGGAGGACTGGGGGGGAGCAGTGGCGCCCGCCTGCCTGTCAACCCCCCCCCATCAGGATGAAGCCAGAGGATCTGGAGTTAGTGTTCAAGGCTGTAATGATTAAACACTTTTTGAAGCGTCCTCCTCAGAGCTGCTGTGACGACCTGAACACAGCGTCCTGTGGACAGCTCGGGGAGCTATGTACAGCTTGTCTGGCTTCTGTGGGAAAATTCACATTTTCAGTTTTCTGTCTGGGGAGCGAAAAGCCCGCCAAGTACCATGGCCCTGGTGGCAAGAGCCTCTGCCAGCCTCTGCTCCGCATCCCTTCACTTGCTCATTGGTGGGGCGCCCTACCACCTGCACGGTGCCCCATGCCTGGTCCCTCTCTGGAACCCGGACCCAGGCCACTGCCCCCACAAGTTGGCCCCACGGTTTCAGCAGAGTTCAGAAGCTGGGAGCCACAGCCCAGCCGTTGGTGGCCACCTTCCTTGCCTGGAGGGTGCACCTTGTGCAGCTGAAGGGTGGCAGAAGCCTCCGTCCCAAGGATGACTGAGCTTGCTGAAAAACAGCAGCTGCAAGACAGGCATTCAGATCTCCTCTTTCTGCAGCTCGGCGGTACGGGGTGAACCTAGCATGCACCAGGCCGTGCTTCCAGCCCCAGCACCCAAGAGAGGATTTGCCTTAGGTTTGTGCGATTGCCTGTTTCCTTTCGCAAACAGGAGATAAAACCTTGCCTAAGAAAGATGAGATGAGGGCTCTACCAGGAGAAAAGAAACATCCTTTCATGGGGCATCCTAGCAGGGCAAAGTCTATATAAACAGACTTTGTTCAAAGAATTCTCTTCCTTTGGCCTCCGCACATAACTCTGTTGCTTCTCCACAACCAACTCTTTGTTCCCACCCATCCACCAGCAAGCAGATCTTGCAATTTCTTCAGGTCTTTGTTTCCTTATGAGCGCTCCCTGGGTCCTGTAAAACTTCCTTTACATGCATATGTTCTCTTCCTTTTGGTCTAGCTTATGCCAACTTAATTCTCAGACCAAGCTGGGATCCTAGGAAAAGAGAGACCCGTGGGAATAAATGCAAGGCACGGAGATGACTGTGCAGTGTTGTGGGAAATCTCTCCGCCTGATGCTACCCTGTTCTTGGCCCTTGAACTTGGAGCTCTAGGCTCCGCCCTGGGCTGAAAGGATCATTCTGGCTCAGCATGGAGCCCCTGTTTAGAAACCGCCTCAAGTTCCTCGAGTTGCTTAACAGATCACATGGTAGCCTTGCTCCCTGCTGAGTCCTAAAGGCTTGCTTAGCAGTTCAGGTTGTGTTTTTGTTTCTGCCTTCTAACTAACAGAGCACGCGCTTGGCATGCAGCAGAGGACTAGGTAAGACATGGGAAATTTGAATTTTTTTTTTGAGACAGGGCCTTGCAATAAAATTAAGGCTGGTCTTGAATTCACTATGTAGCCCAGGCTGGCCTAGAATTCAGAGATCCTTCTGCCAAAGCCTCCTGAGTGTTGGGATTACCCTTATGTGGCACTACAGCCAGCTGATTCTTTATAACAAGTACAGAATAGTAAAACCAGAATAATTTCTCCCACATGATCACATAGATAGCTCAAAGAATGACATTTACTGTGCATAACTTACATTATCTTGTTCAATCTGCATCACCAGCCAGGCATGGTGGTGCACGCCCCTGATTCTAGCACTTTGAAGGCTCAGGCAGGAGGATTGCCAAGAGTTTGAGGTCAGTCTGGGCTACCTAGTGAATTCAAGGCCAGCCTGGACTACATAGTGAAACCCTGTCTCAAAAAGCAAAGAAGGGAAACTGTCTGCACAATCAACTTGTGAGGTTCAAGTTTATGACCTTAGAATCTTGAAATGAGTTATAAATTCAAGTGAAAGCACATATCTCTGACTCCAAATGAGGCTAAAGAAAACAACTACCCACAAAGCCTCCTCTTCACCCCTCCCACCAACCAGTAAACAAATTTGTATACTATTACCATGTCCAGAATTGCAGGGTTAAGGGCACTCAAGGACAAGGCTGTACGTGCTGCATAAACTGGGACAAATTCTCCACCTGAGTTTTGTCAACTACGCTTCCCAAGCAGTAAAATATGTGCTTCAGCAGAGGAAAAACTAATCATGGGTGCAGACAACACTAAGCCAAGCACAATATCCTGCCTCTGAAGGAGAGGCCTCCGTCGCAGGCTAAGTGGAGGGAAGACAAACCACAGCTGTGGCCCTAAAAAGGACAACTGACCTGGGCCTTTCATTTGCTTCCACCTCGTGCGTGCACTTAATTCCAGAGTTGCACTTAACAGGAAATGAACCACAGCAATAGCCAGTGAGCATCAAAGGTAGCAGGAGAGCAGGAGGCAGACTATTAAAGGAATGAAAGGGGAAATGTATGAGTCACGAGCATTCAATACCCAGTAGAAGGCAAGACTTCGTGGGAACTAACAGGCAGGCCGCCTGAGCTAGCACAGACTCAGAGCTCTTTAAAAAGTGTAAAGTTCTATACAAACGTGAGGTCACGCAGTCACATGAGAAACTATTTTGTTCATGGAGATCATGGAAGTTAATTTGGGAAACACTGATTTGCAGTGCACGCTTTTCTTTAAAGCACTGGGGATCAAACCCAGGGGTGCTCTACGACTAAGCTAAATCCCTAATCCTTTTTATTTTTCATTCTGAGACAGGGTCTCATTAGGTTGCCCAGGCTGGATTCCAACTCAGAATCCTCCTGCCTCAGCCTCTTGAAGAGCTGGCATAACTGCCCAGTTTATGCATTGTTTTGGTTTTGTCCATTTGCTTTTTCTTGTAGAAAGAATGATCTTTGTTCTTAGGCTTATAGAACTGGAAATATCGTGGATTATGTGGCACTTGAACCCCCACCCTTTTTATTAGTACAGTGGTGCCTTGGTCCATGAACTTAATTCTTTCCACATTTCTGGTCGCAAACCTAACTGGATGAGAACCAAATCAAATTCAACGGTTAGGTTCAACATTGACCTTATGGGGAAATTTGATTCGGTTCGCATTCAATTTGGTTTGTGACCAGAAACATGGAATAGATTAAGTTTGTGAACTTAATTCCTGTGAATTACACATGTTTGTGATATATAATGAATACAGCAAAACCTAGGATTGTGAGCATAATTCATTCTGGAAACACGCTTGCAATCCAAAGCACTTGTATATCAAAGTGAATTTCCCTATAAGAAATAATGGAAGGCCAGGGATTTAGCTCAGTGGTGCAGCCACCTGCCTCGCAAATGCAAGGTCCCGAGTTTGATCCCTGGTACCAAAATAAATAAATAAATAAATAAACAAACAAACAAATAAAATAATGGAAACTCAGATGATTCATTCCACAACCCAAAACCATTCATGTAAGAGTGATTACAATACTGTAATATAATACAAAATAATAAAGAAAATACAAAATATACTTCATGGCTGGTATGAGGGCAACAAGACAGAGGAAGGTTATTGTGTAGGACAACTTCACTAATGGAATCATTGCCATGTATTGGCTCAGTAGCAACTTTAAGAAGGAACCCAGTGACACCTGCTTTGCCTCCTTTTGAAGAAATGTGACACTGCATTGTCATTAAACAGATTCATTGCTCGCACTGCACTGCTACAGCCTTATTCGGGTGGTGCCTGTCTACAGAATTTTGCACATTTCCCACATGTTACACATCTCCCTAAACTCATTTGAAGTGAGGGATTCCTCTGCCTTTTTCTCCTCCTCCTCTGCAGACAAGATCTCCTCCATAACCTCTTGCTGTTGGGAAACAATCACCCACAATCTCACAACGAGGGAAGGGGAAGGGCAGCTCAGGTGTAATCATGTGATAACTATTCCTATTGCAAGGCATCACTTGTTTATCAAGTTAAAATTTACCGGAAATGTTTTGCGGAACAAGTTACTTGCAATCCAAGGTCTGACTGTACATTCACGGTGGGGAACTAGGGCATATACATATGGCATCTTGATCCTTTTTACTTCCCTTTTCCCACCCCCCCATCTCCAGCCTCCTTGTCCCCACAGGCACTTCGATTCTGCCATGGATGTTTGCATGTTGTTCTTTACTAAAAATGATAAATTTTCAAATCATGGTTCCAAAGTGGGTAGAAAACAGCAATCTGATTTTGCTCCAAGGCACAGTAACTCTCAACCTTGGGGACTTTCACAAAAATATTGATGCCTGGGTCACACTTCTCAGAGATGCTCCTGTCATTTCTGTCATTGGTCTGTAAGTACTGCCTGGGCGCTGGAATTTTTTTAAATTGCCCAGGTAAATTGAATGTGTGGTTCTAGGCAAGAACCAGGCTTTTCTTGAGAGAGAGAGAGAGAGAGAGAGAGAGAGAGAGAGAGAGAGAGAGTTCCTGTGCAGTTCAGGCTGGGCTTGAACTCACTATGTAGCCCAGGCTGGCCTCAAATTCATGTCGAGCCTCCTGCCTTGGCCTCCCAAATGCTGGGATTACAGGCGTGCGCCACTACACCCAGCATACCCCCTTTAGTTTAGGGAGCTCTCCCTAGAATGTGTCCTCAGAAAGCCAAGAATCCAAGCATCAAATAACACTGTGTAATCTTTCCACTCTTCATGTGTTTGGGAGACAGAGGCATAGAGGAATGTCCGTGGTTGATGACTGTCCTGCTGGGGCTGCTTACTGCTACTGTTCAGGCTGTGTGTGGACCAAGACAGTGTTCAGGTGGGCTGTGATCAAAGACTCTTTGTGAGGATTTATGTGTAAAGATGCAGCACAGCAGAGCTTGATATGATCTTAACAAAAACCCACATAATTTCAGCCCTAAAAATGTTTCTCTTGGCTGGTGCATAGCTCAATAGTATTGTTACCAGATTCTGGGGTCCTGTAGACTCTTTCCAGGAATTCTTTCTAGGTTCTTGGTATCCCAAAGACTTGGACAAGACACGTGAAAAAGGTAGCAAGGTTTTACCTTTATTGCAGGTAGGAAAAGAATTACACTGCAGAGTGAGTTGGGCCAGCTGAAGGTAGGAAAAGAAGGACCCCTGCAGAGTGACAGTGAGACACTAGAGAGCTCACAGTGGCCACGAGGTGAATGGCTGAGGTCTTTCCTATCCCCCAGTCTCCAGGCTGATGTCAGCTCTAGGCCATCCTATCAAAACCCTGCTTGATTTCATGCCAGAAGAACTGAAGACAGCACTTTCTGGTTGGTCCCAGGTGCACGGCTGGGAACTGTGTTCTGCACCTGTGTCCTGGATCTCTGTGATTGACAAGCCATGCCCACTTGCCCAGCCAGCTCACCATGCCCTAATCTTTTTTTTTTTTCCTGGAATTGAACTCAGGACCTTGCAATTGCCAGGCAGGCACAGCACCACTGAGCTATATCCCCAGCCCCATGCCCTAGTCTCACTTCAGCAGAGTGCATGTTTACCTTGTTCTAGGCCTGGGGCTGATCCCTGCCCCCACAAAGCTTCATGGAATGGTGCACTTTGGTATCTATGTAGTTTTATTTCACCTTTCTGAGAGCTCAGAGAAAGGGTGGATCTCTACCCTTTATCTCTGAGAATTCAATCTACTCATGGGACTGAGGCTTAATAAGAGGCCAAGAACAACAGCATGATGAAATCAGAATCACAGGTTGAAAATGAAGACAAATTTGGAAGAATCTGATGGCAAGATTAAAAGGCTCACTGCTGTGACCTTGCTGAAACTTCATTTTGTAATTTGAGTTTGATATAAATTCTGCCCCACCATTTTTTCTAATTGTCTGATCAAAAAAAATAAATAAATAAAACTGGTGTCACCTTGACAAATGCTTCTTAATCTGAAAATGTTAAAATGTGATTTCTCTGAGTTAAAACTGAAAGAAGAAAGCAGTAGGAAGATTCCTCAAAGAAAAAATTAAAACTAGAACTATCATATGATCTAGAAATCCAGTATGTATGTATAGAGTATGTAGCCAACAGAGCTGAAACAGGTTCTCAAAGAGGTATTTACTTACTGATCATTTTTTGAGACAAGGTTTTGCTATGTAGTTCAGATTGGTCTTGTGGTGATTCTCCTGCCTTAGCCTCCCAAATGCTGGGTATACAGGGGTGCCACCATGCCCAGCTTCAAGCATGCATTTAAACAGCCTTGTTCTTGGCAGCCCCATTCACAGCAGCTGAGAGGGGGAACCAACCAAACTGTCCAGTGCCAGATGATGGCTACACACAGTGTGGTCCTTTCCACACTATGGGCGTCATTATTCCTCCTTCAAATGGAAGGAGATCCTACCCCGTGGTGTAACACGAATAAACCCTGCGGATTTTACACTAAGTGAAATAAACCAGGCCCCAAAAGACAAATACTGTCTGATCACAATATTTGTGATTCTGTGAGGTATCTACAGTGGTCAAATTCATCGACACAGAAAACACAGGAAGGGTTGCCTGGGCAGGAGGAGATGAGCTGTTGTTCAGTGGGTACAGAGTTTCAAGTTTGGTTTTTTATGATGCTGAGAATCAAACGTGGGCTTTGCACATACTAGGCCAGTGCTCTATAGCTGAGCCACATCTTCAGCCTGAAAGTTTCAGTTTTTTCACATGAAGTTCTGGAGACCCACTGCCCAGTAATATATATGTAGCGAACACCAGTGAACTATACACTTAAAAATGGCCGGGCCATGTACCCCTATAACCCCAGAAGGCTAAGTGGAAGGCTGAGGTAACTTAGGGAGACCCTGCCTCAAATTAAAAACTAAAAAAAAAAAAAAAAAAA